GGGGGGGGGGAGGGCAACGAAGGCTCAAGGAGGGCTCAGGGCGAGCACGGCTTAGAGCCAGTAGCCTCCAGGCCCAACCGATCCCCGGATGTCCTGCCCCCTTCCTGCTCTCCCTCCCCCAAAAATAGCTCAGGCTGGGCTGGCAGAGCGCAGAAGGCTCCCGCGGGATCCAGGTTGACCTGAGCAAAGCCCCATGCCCAAGACACAGTCGCCCCTCAAGTTCCTTCAGGCCTCTCCCAGGGCCCAGAGGCACCGCTGCATTGAGCTTGGGCTCAGCAGCGCTTCCCGGAGCTTGGCCCAAGGGAGATGACCAAGTGCTTGGGCGTGGGGAGGGAGACAGATCAAGGGGCCAGCCTAGTGCACCGAGCAGAGCTGCTGGGCACAGGAACACCCTCGGGTTCCTGGAGGCTTAGGATGCAGCCGGGAGAGACTGCCCGGATCTTGGCTGCCACCCAGCGTGGGGGCTCCGGCTCCGGGGCAGGATCGCAGCAGGGCTCAGGCGCTGCGCGGGTACAACCTCAGCCAAGCGCCGTCTGTCCACGCTGCCACGCACCAGGGAATCCGTGCAGCCTCGCCCCGCCTGGCCCGCCTTGGGTTCGGGCTAGGAAAGGCAAGGCTGGAACACGCCCTTTGCAGAGGGGCTTCTCTGGGGTGGAGGCTGTATGGACACACACACACACTGCCTCCCCCTGACACGGGCCTTCCTCTGGGCCCCGAAGCCAGCAGGCACTGTCCACTCGCTGCCAGCCTGATCCTCACACCCCCACAGTTGCAGCTTCAACACAGTAACGGACATCCCCGTCCTCTCCCCTGGGCGCTTCCCCGCCCGGATCCTACACGATCTCACGCTCTGCCCTGTGCAGGACAACACAGAGCCCCTGTGAGGGGCAGCGCCGGAGCTGTGCGTCCGCAGGCTGCATCTAGTCCCACAGCTCGGGCCGAGATGGCTCAGCTCGGGGGCTCGCAGAGAGTCCCGGGCTGGGTGATCTGGGGGCGCCGGCATGGACAGGAACGGGACTGGTGTGTGTGCAGGTGCAGGGGATGGAGATGCCGGAGCTGCACAGAAAGGAGGGAGAAAAATTGCTGAGTAAAGGGGAAGAGGTCAGGGGGGTGGAAGTGGAGGTCACCAACTGGAAACCCCCAGGGAGAGCCGGGCTGGGTGCAGCCTGCCCAGGGAAAGCCGCTTCCGCAGTTCCCACTTCTGTGCTGTTCCTTGTTGGCAGGAGATGCTGGAGAACCAGAACCGCCCCCCATCGCTTCCTACAGAGGCGCCTTTAGAGCCCTGCTTTGTAAGGATCCGGGAGTAGGGAGGCTCTGAAGTCTACTAAGACCCAGGCATTTCGCAGGCGATCCAGGGGCCAGAAAGATTTTAATCCGAGTTCAAAATATCCCGGGTTTAGAGGGAGGCTGTGTCCAAACCCGCTTTAAGTCACTTGCCCCAACAGAGAGATCAAAGTGGCTAAAAAGAGAACCAACACCCCACCCCCGCCCAAGGCCAAGTCCGGCTCCGGCACCAGGGACCCAGCGGCCCTTCCTGCCCCGGCCCCTGCTTCCATTAACCCGTTCGCCA